TATAGAAGAATATGCTGCTGAGCACTTTAACCCATTAGGGACGACGAGTTTTAAAGTTTGCCGATCTTGATGCCGTTTAACACACTAGGTCACTTTACTGCAAAAATGAGATATCCAAAAAAGCTAATCTGTATCTCGTTTACTTTAAAAGATACAGCTATGGTCGCATACAACCCACTCGTCCGGGTCGCAAACGACCCATCACGGTTTTTCGGCTTTAACTTCTGAAACAAAGACGTTAGGATAAAATAAAAACTGTAGCATAAGTTAAAACCATATGGTCAATACTGTGTGACTCTTACTTTTTAAAAATAAAGAATTTGGGTCATTAACGACCCACTCGGCTCACTTACTTATTATTACATATGTCCATGCAACTTCTTGAATTCAGCCTAAAACATGATATAATAAGTGCAAAATCGCCTCTCAGCAAGTGATAATCATCATAAACTGCGAAAAATCGGTTAAATGGGTCATTAGCGACCCACTAGGACCACAAAATTGATTAATTAAATATAATGTTGTCAAACTTTTACAAATATTAGTATAAAAACATGTTATATCTTGGGCTAATAGGGCAAACAGCGACCACCGAGGCGGTTCTTCAACGGTTCTTAAGCGGTTCTTAAGCGGTCCTTAGACGGTTCTTAAGCGGCCGCTCGCCGGACACCAGCTCTTGACCGGCTCTAAACCGGCTCTTAACCGGTTCTTAACCGGTTCTTAAGCGGTTCTTAGCCGGTTCTTAGCCGGTTCTTAAACGGTTCTTAAGCGGCTCTTAAGCGGTTCTTAAACGGCTCTTAAACGGCTCTTAAACGGCTCTTAACCGGCTCTTAAGCGGTGGTCGGTCTTTGACCTACTTCCCATATCTTGGTCATTACTCCTGTACGTTGATTTAACTTTTAAAATCGATCAACTGGGTCAGTAACGACCCACTCGGAAGTTGAACCACAAAATTAATTATCAGTATCATGCTGTTCCACCATTAAGAAAGACACTCGTAGGTCTTAATTCCACGCAAACCACGGGTGGATGACCAGTTTGACCACTAGCCCTCCTGAGATTTGGAGTCTCACCGTGATCTGCAGATCACGTTACCCAATCACTGACGAATAATGGGCAGAATTGGATTGATAGCTAGGTGAGTTTATCAGCTGTTAGTACACGACCGTAATGTCGTGAGACAGCAACCAACATGCCTATCTTTTCCCGATTCATAGAACGTCCAAGAAGAACTGTACAACTGCTGGATTCAGAATTCAGATGGCTGCATCTACTCTCTTCGCAGCTTCCGTTCTTTAGGTACTTCTTAGGGGCCGTTCATATATTACGTAATTACTTATTGGACAATTTTTACGCCCCCCCCCCACCACATAGCTATTATGTCAAAAGTACACAAGCGTAATCATTTGGAAACTCCCCTCCCTCTAGGCCGATTACGTAATACTTGTTTTCGTTTTGAAAGCTGCCTCGTTGTTGTTACCCACAACGAGGTCTGAGAGATTGCAGGTTGCAGCACCGCCAGCCAAATGGGGGGGGGGGGGGGGGGGGGGGGCTTTTTCCTTGTCCTTCTTTACAGAGCTGTAGATGTAGCCATCTGAATGCAGCAGTTGTTTAGTTATTCTCGTACTTTCTAGGAATGTCAAACAGATTGGCATGTTGGATAAGAATATGCAATTTCACCACTCGTCTTTCAGTATTTACCCAAGGTTACAGGATATCTCGTATACTTCGTTCAGGGGATTTTTCTTGAGTGACATGATCTGATCACCGTGGGACCCTGGGTCTCAAGCGGTGGGTTGTAGCAGGTTGTTTACCAAGATTCAAAATTGACGAAAAAGGTAACAGAATATAATAAGCAACAACAAGTACAACAGCATGACTATTATCTAGCAAGTTAGGAACGAGGGCCGATTTCCTTTTCTTTTGCGGCACGGCCACGGTCCTTTCGGTACAGATGTCCACGCACCATAGTCAAGACGCAACTTTAGGCATGTATGCAGTCGTGTTATTCTCGCAGCTCTTTGATGAGTGATGACGCCCCCTCAGTTGGCCCTGGATCTCAGAAGGGCTAGTTGTCAGCCACCGTGGTTTGCGTGGAATTAAGACCTACGAGTGTCTTTCTTAATGGTGGAACAGTATGATACTGATAATTAATGTCGTGGTTCAACTTCCGAGTGGGTCGTTATTGACCCAGTTGATCGATTTTAAAAGCTAAATCAACGTACAGGAGTAATGACTAAGATATAACATGTTTTTATACTAATATTGTAAAAGTTTGACAACATTATATTTAATTAATCAATTTTGTGGTCCTAGTGGGTCGCTAATGACCCATTTAACCGATTTTTCGCAGTTTATGATGATTATCACTTGCTGAGAGGCGATTTTGCACTTATTATATCATGTTTTAGGCTGAATTCAAGAAGTTGCATGGACATATGTAGTAATAAGTAAGTGAGCCGAGTGGGTCGTTAATGACCCAAATTCTTTATTTTTAAAAAGTTAGAGTCACACAGTATTGACCATATGGTTTTAACTTATGCTACAGTTTTTATTTTATCCTAACGTCTTTGTTTCAGACGTTAAAGCCGAAAAACCGTGATGGGTCGTTTGCGACCCGGACGAGTGGGTCGTATGCGACCGCAGTTAGTAAACAGCGTCTAGCTCTGTTTGTGAACATCTGATTATCACGGGCTTTTCATATGTCTCAAGGAAATCGTTGCCCGCAACTACTTTGTCCTCAACAAAATAAGCCTACATAAAGTTTTAATGACCAAATCAAAGCAAGAAGTAACGTGCAATATTTTCCAATTATGACGACTAATTAGCCTAATTATTTAGTTGTTAGTGATTAATTGGGTCTCGACTGGAAAGTCAATAATGTAGCCCAATAAATTTTGAGCATATGTGCGAAAGATTCTTGGCGTTTAGTATTTTGGTTTTTCCTCTATAGCCTCTAGAAAAGGTGGGTCGTAAACGACCCTATCGTCCCTAATGGGTTAAGCTTACTTAAACTGTCAGTATATTTAACGTCTGTCAAAGTGGACTAATGTTACTATCAAAAATCGAACTGATTTCAACATAAAGCAGAAGTGCAACAACCCAAATGTCATAGGTGTAAAGGTATAATGGGTAATGCAAAAATAAGAGTACGAAAAATAAAAAATGTGAATTTTCGAAACACGAGTTGTAATGATTCTTGTGTAGGTAATAAAACACGTAGCCGTTTCTTGAGAACTAGATCAAATCATAAAGGGACCTATAGAACAATCAATAGGTTATTACATATAAATAACCAATATAATATAATACTATAACACGAGTCGTTCAGAAGTGAATGACCGTGGAAAATGAATCCTAACTAGTTATAACTAACTATATATAGGTATATAGCTAACTAGTTATAACGTGCACTTATAGCTGTCGATATTATAACTATATCTTTTAAAAACATGTACATTCTGGATTCAATACTGATAATATACATATTATCTCTTCTCTCTCGTAACGCATAAAAGCTTTTTCCGTCGCCAGAAACTTATATTTATACAATGTATGTATATTAATATAAAGACGTGAAAACTTACGTAGGCACATTTATCTTTTTATATGACAAGTTTCGATGTGGCAAATAAAACCTTTCATCTTAATAATGAAAACTACTCATTATGGGAGGTATTAGATCATAAAACGGCCACCATACGGCCACCATACGGCCACCATACGGCCACCATACGGCATACAGTCACCATAGAATACCTAAAGAACGTTTAATAATCCCCCGAATCAAACTAAATTTTGAACAGGATCGATGTATAATTACATCAATAACGAAGCAAATCATTAGTTGTATAGATTATAGCACAGTACCTATAACTATAAATTGAATTTTGTGACCAATGATAACCGTTTCGTTTAATTAATAATGTGTAAATCCAATAATTTTATTCCTTGGTTATCATATCTCATTCAGAGTAACTTTAAGTTATGCGCCAATCAATTGCTGGCTTTCTACCGACCTAATTTAATTTGAACGCATAAAAAACTATTTATTACGATTAATGTTATATCGCTAATTATGTTCCAATCCAATAATATCGACCTCTGCAGTCCATGATTACGCTGATCTTGATATGAACTTACTTATTATCTTGATCTATCATCTAAATATAGCTGCACTGAACAAAGATGATTTCTGGTGAGCTGATCCTCCTTAGAACGAAGCTTTAAAGGTTGTTTTACTTAGTGCTATGTTAAACAACTGTTATTACAGAGTTCTAACATGTCGACATAAACTAAATTCTGTGGAACCCTGTGTGTAAACTTTAGCTGGTGTGAGTGGTGCCTTCACTTTTTAAATATGTAGAGTATAAGCTATAAATACCAGCACTAAGTTATGAACATTACCACAAAAAGCGGATTTATTTATTATTTATACAATACTTACTGACAATCAAGGTCATCCCAACCACCATTACACTCAAGAATTCGCATTGATCAGACAACAAAAGTACAGGTTTCGTTGACTCAAATAATCGTTGAAAGGTTCGTTACAATTACATAACACGAAAGCTTACTTTCACGCTCATCTTTGATATAAGAGCTGAGAACCAAAGATGTACAAATCATTCAATTTAGTAATACGTGCGGACTGGTCCAGGGCTCCGGGACCAGCTTGCACAGATTCATATACTTAATGTGAATCAGGAAATTTGGTGGAAGTAACTTCGATCCATCGGTATTCAAACCTGACAGTCGTGAAAGCTGTGTATCTTATTAACCAATCAGGCTAATTAACTAATCAGATAGCAATTAGTGTCTATTCGCAAGATCTTCAGCTTCGTGTATGCTCTATAAAACTGTTATTACTTACTTATAGTAATACAATCTTTTATTGAAAAGTAGGTACGAGTCAAACTCTATCTCGATTTACAATTAAAACTGATCAATAATATGCTTAAAAACCTACCATTACTAAAGACCTGAATAATAAAACTCACAATCGGACGTGTGTGTTGAATCCCCCAAGATCCAGAAAGTGATTCTGAACCGACTCTCTAGGTGCCATCATGTCTCTCTGATAGTGATCTTGTTTCCCTCCTTTTTTCGAGTCTCCGTGACTACCCTTCCGTGGTCGGACACGAGGAGACTCACCACCGCTCCCCAATCGAGCTAACCTCTGGTCAATTTCTCCACCGCTTCCTTTTCGAGCTCTCCTCTGATGATCTCTTTCTTCTTTACTTGTCCTGGAAGCAGCGCTCATCTGACTCAGTGGAGTACGATTATGGTGATCTTGTTTAGCGTCCGCCATTTTCCTTTAATATTTCAAATTATTCGTTTATTTTTGTACTTTATTAACTGTACATTGAAATATTTAAATCGCGCTTGCCAAATGCAAAATGGTCGATCGCTGGGTGTGACTACCCAAGAGTGATATTAGGGTTCATTAGGTGCTATAATTAGATTTCACTCCGCTTAGCTTTAACAACATGATTTGTGTCTAAAATACCACCCCCCGTTACATTCTATTAGTATAGGTATAATAACAGTTCCCAAGGCTCTGTTATGCTATGGATACAATTTAATAATAATTACAACTTCAAGTCATTATGGCGTGCTAAATTTGTAAATACTATGGCGATTTTATGATTTATCAAGAATGTTATTATAAAGTGGTTAAATCAGCTACCCTGACATGAGGACGCAACGTGAGACAAGGTTAAACACTAAAAATCAAAAGAAGATAATACACAATATCAATATTTTGGATGTTCGGGAAGCAGAAGGATTTATTCAAGGGAATGAAATTGAAAATGTTTGAAAACGTAAATAAATTAACACTAACACTTAACAGTGATGTTAAACAAATTAATTGATGGTAGCTGTGATGGGCTCCTCGTGCAAAAATGCATGAGTTTCTTCCTCCTTGCTGACACTGTGTGAGCTTGGAGAAGCATCATGAGCGGGCGTTGCCAGGTAACTGGCTATCCCGTGAATGGAAGCTTGTATTTTTAAAAAATTAACAGTGATGTACACATCGTTCATATTTGACAGGAATCTGGATACGTAGCACAAATTTGCAATTTTTTAAACAGGAAGGGCAACAAAGTTTCATTATCAGATTCAACAGTAATGGTACAAAAATACTATGATATTATCGAAACCATTTAATGGAGCAGTATTACTAAAATAGGTGCTAATAATATAAACACCACAAGATAACTACTTTTCGCGGGGGTTGTTGCTAAAAGTAACACATATTGCATGCTTTGTCTTAATGCAATTCTTTAATGGTTGACGTTTCTGTGTGCTTAAACGATTTGAGGGTGAAATTGTAGAATAAATCGTTCTGATACAGATCAGTGCAGCGCATTTTCTTTATAATTTCAGGGTGAATATAACGCAAATGACGCCGTAAGAAAAGAACATCCAGGGTATTCCGAAATTTCCCAAAATATCTTAAATTCACCACCTGGTACCACCACCTGGTAGCGACACTACCCAATCTAAAAAATATCCGCTCTCGCACACGAGCCGAATGAAACAACAATGCTTCCAAAAAAAGGTACTATTTGTTAAAATGAAATGTCCGGTGTTGAATGTTGTTCAACTCCGCTCCGTGCGGCGTCCAAACAAAGGACTGCAATATTTTGAAGACAATAAGCCTGATGTACCGAGAGCAACAGTTACGCGACTGCAGGAGATCGGTAGTTTCATGTGAAAAGAGATAAAGGCAGCTTATTGTCTACTACCTCGCTGGTGGTGGAGTTAATTTTTGAGGTAATATTATAATTTTATAATTTGAGGGGGTTTGTTTGAGGATTGTGGTTTACGGAGAGGATAATAACTTAAACTGACACGACAAAGGAGACAAAGGATACAACGTGATTGCATTGTGACTGTGTATCTCCAGTTATAAGCTTGCTGGGAGATTGTATCCGTCATGAATAAGCAATATTATCGACGGGTGTCGACTTGAATCTTGAAGGTATTCTCAGTATGTGCGAGTTGATTGTTATAGTAGATGAATAACTTTCTAGCTGATGTACGGCCAAGGCTTTGGATTGTATGAAAAGTACTTTTGGATCTTATTCTTAAAGGTAAATATTATAATTTGAATAATGGAGGTGTAGTACACTGAATAATGATAATGAAGTACTTTCGAGTTGATATGATCAGGACTTAGGAAATATTCTGGAGAAATTTAAGCAGAATTATGAGCCGAGCGTAGAGTAATATTTCTGCAATACTTTACTCATATCAGGTCATTTTAAACTCACTGTCTATTACACAAGGGAGAATTTAAAATTCAGTTAAAAAGTTATGAATAAAGTAGTGTTAAACAGTGCTCAAAAACAATCCGTTTTGCAGTGAAAGTAAAGCGCTCCAAACAATCAATCTTGGAAAAGTGCCACTTCAATGTTATAACTGAAACTACTATTCACTTGCAGTCTACGAACTTACAAATGATACACCTAAGCACTTATAATGAGTATAATTAGTGCCATTAAGAGGTGACTTAACTATAAGGGTACCCTCTGCAGTATCATAAAGGTGCATTCATATCTTTAAATAAATAAAGTAGTTTAGAATTGCTCTAGAAATTTTCCCCCATCAGTACAGTTTTAGTCTAACCAATTTTTGGTGGTGCCTGGGACTATGGACAACACATTTCTGCACCACATTCCTGCACAGAAACCTATTCGCATATTGTCCCATGAATGTCTATTCTTGCCCTAACTGTCTTCAGGATTTAGGAGTATTCCGATGGTAAGAGAATCTGCAGATAATCTGCGAGGAAATCTTGGATTTTGGAGGAAATTTTGTGCCAAAGAGGAAATGCTCTGGGTAAGAAGATGGTCAGAACTCAGAACTAAGCAAAATTGTGAACCAAACTTCAGCTATAATAATCAGCTATAATAACGTCAGCTATAATAATCAGCTATAATAACGTCAGCTATAATAACGTCAGCTATAATAACGTCAGCTATAATAACGTCAGCTATAATAACGTCAGCTATAATAATGAGCTATAATAACGTCAGCTATAATAACGTCAGCTATAATAACGTCAGCTATAATAACGTCAGCTATAATAACGTCAGCTATAATAACGTCAGCTATAATAACGTCAGCTATAATAACGTCAGCTATAATAACGTCAGCTATAATAACGTCAGCTATAATAACGTCAGCTATAATAACGTCAGCTATAATAACGTCAGCTATAATAACGTCAGCTATAATAACGTCAGCTATAATAACGTCAGCTATAATAACGTCAGCTATAATAACGTCAGATATAATAACGTCAGCTATAATAACGTCAGCTATAATAACGTCAGCTATAATAAGGTCAGCTATAATAACGTCAGCTATAATAACGTCAGCTATAATAACGTCAGCTATAATAACGTCAGCTATAATAACGTCAGCTATAATAACGTCAGCTATAATAACGTCAGCTATAATAACGTCAGCTATAATAACGTCAGCTATAATAACGTCAGCTATAATAAGTAATAACGTCAGCTATAATAACGTCAGCTATAATAACGTCAGCTATAATAACGTCAGCTATAATAACGTCAGCTATAATAACGTCAGCTATAATAACGTCAGCTATAATAACGTCAGCTATAATAACGTCAGCTATAATAACGTCAGCTATAATAAGGTCAGCTATAATAACGTCAGCTATAATAACATCAGCTATAATAACGTCAGCTATAATAACGTCAGCTATAATAACATCAGCTATAATAACGTCAGCTATAATAACGTCAGCTATATGATAACCCAGCTTATCATGTCGTCTCATTGAGAGAAGAATAAGAAATTTAGTTAGAAGGTTCAATATAATTATAAATAACGTGTCAGCTTGTGTTAGAGTGAAGCACAGGTGCAGTGCTATATAAACCTCGTGTTAGTGTCTGCACATGCGTTTGCATTTGTATTAATATTATGTGGTTGTATATATATCATGGCCGAGAGTATGTCTCGGTCATGATTATAACACTGATGGTAGGCCAGGATGACAACAGATAACAGGATTATGAAGCGGGAAAGAGCCGTTTGGTTGTCTCCTAACGGCTGCATTATCATTAAGTTTAACAAAACAATAAACCTGTATAATAATAATAATATTTCATGGAAATGCAGCACTTCAAAGTTGAGACAGCGTCAACAAGCTTGCAAATTAAACACCAATATAAGCATGCAGTTTGGTAACCCTAGATACACAATGGCCCACTAGATACACAATGGTGCTCCAATGGTGGTTATGAGCATTATTAGAGGAGCAAAGAAACACGCTGATTAAACCTCAGCTTTATTATCGATTAACATCCCGTACAACTATGTGAATAATGGAAATATAATGAATAATGGTTATGATAATCTTGATGATTGTTATTGTCATGCTCGCAGGTTTATTAGCATCAGGTGGTTGGGGTTGGGGGGGGGGGGGGGGTACTATATATTACAAACACACAGGGGGTTACTAATACTATATATACTAAGTTACAAACACCTGGTCTCCTCTGATCCAAGGATGGGACTAAGTAGTAATTAGGACAGAGTAAAAGAAGAAAAGGAAGAGTGGGCTGACTGGGCTCAGCAAGAGAGGGCTTAGAAGACAGAAACCATGGACTTATGGACTATTACCGCAGCATTGGTCTCTGGAATTAGCAGGAGTACTGGGACAGGTGTGTGGATGGGCTTTACCTTGGAAAATATTCAGATGTGGTTTTACAAAGGGTAATGGGCTAATGATGAGGCGAGGTATAATGAATGGGCTAATGATGAGGCGAGGTAATGAATGCCGGCTGATGATGTTGATGAATATACTGAATAAATGTATGATATGTAAATACACAGTTATCTGTGTAAACATGTATTAGCCATGTTAAGTCTAGACTCGAGGAATAAAACAAAAGATAAGGATTGTACATGTAGCGATGTTCCCTCCCACTAAATCGCTCGCCCAAATTTTAAGAAAATTCTTGAGGAAAGGCCCTGAAGGTATAAATTTATTCATGTACGGTGTATTTTTGGACGCTGATTCCGAATCACCCCCTATGACGTAGGGTAAAAAATGCTTCCCTGGACAGTTATGGGCAAAAACTGTTTTGGTCACGTGACAGGCTAGTAAACACAAATTTGATTGTTTAGGGCTCAGGTTAGGGTTATATTAGAGTTGTGGTTAGGGTTACGGATAGCTTTGGGGTTATGGTTAGGTCATGAAATAAGCTATCAATTGCACTTTGAGAATGACGGAAAAACTGCCTAATATATGATCAGGATTCAGGATATGA